GATGATGTAGCCACTCAGTTAGCAGTATAAAGGATTGGTTCTCATTGGCGTTATTTTACGATCGTTTTGCCCATTTGGGTGCGATGCTTCTAAACCCTGAAACAATCTTTACTGTATAGCACTACTTGGAAAAGTAGCTTGAATAATAACGAGGGCCCGTTCTTCTCTATACAGCAGCAAGGGATGGCTGGGTGATCCACCCCTTTTTTATCGTCGTTCAGTATTTTTTGCTCTCAAGCGCCAGCTAGACGATAGGCTCAGTATCGCTAGCGAAATGTCGGTCCACGCGCATCGCTGTCGCACAATCGTCGCACGGCTTCTTTTGTCGCACATTGCTCCTCCGCGGTCCACCCTTCCGCCCTCCGCGCTCGTCGCTCCTTCCGCGCAACTCGCGCCAGCTCCGCCACACTCCCGGCAACCACCACATGCGTTAAGTCAGCACCACTCTGCACCGCACTCTGCCACTTGTAATCCCGCATCGCCCCTCGCCCTCCCGCTGGCGGCTTTTCCGCCGCAATCATCGGCGCACTCTGCGCAACCCTCGAGCCTCCGCCGAGATCCGACCCGTCCAGCCACGTGGCAGGAGCCGACCTCTTATTGGCTGAAAGAATTCGCAACTGCCGCGATCGCATGTCGACTCTCCGATTCGCACGCGCTCTTCCTCCAAGCACGTGCCTCGCGGCCGGTTTTCCCGCCTCTAATCACTCCAAACGCGGCGCGGTTTTTCCCATTAGTAGAATTCGCAGCGCGCCAGCAATTGTATTCGACACTTAAATCGCCGGAAAATGCGGAAGGGTCGCGTAGGGAGGCGGAGGGGCTGGCTGGGAGCGTGGAGAACGAAGATTCGGAGAAGGTTCTGGGAGCAGAAGTGAAGGGGGAATTCGGGTCAAGAGAAAAGGTTGAAGTGAGGGGAGGGGGAGAGGAGGAGCAGGTGGTTGGAAGCGGTGGAAAGCGGTTGAGAGGGGTGGAGGAGGAGGAGAGAGTGGTGGGAAGAGACGGGGAAGATTGGCAGCGGATTGTAGTGTACCGTGGGAGGTGGATGCGAGGGCTGAGACTGATGGTGAGGTGAGTGCGGTGGAGAGCGGTGGAGAGAGGTGGAGAGAGGTCGTGCAGGGTGTTTATGCGAACAAGAATCTTCTCGTTGTTACAACCGCCGTTTGTGATGCGAAAAAACCACCTCCTCTCTCGCCGCCGCTGCTGCATGCTGCCTGCTGCAGGCTCAAGGTGGCTCAGCTAGTGAGGGTGGGGTGGCGTCGCTGGGCGTCGCTGGGCGTCGCTGGGCGTGAGTGGTTGTGTTGAGGCGCCTCAAAAGTCGCCCCAAAGATCATCCCCCTCCCTTTCTTCCGCATCTGCCTGCCCGCCCTCTCCTCTCCCCACTGCCGGATGCTGCATGCTGCTGGCTGGATGTTGTTATGTGCTTCCTGCATGTTGCCGTGTCCTGCATGCTGCAGGCTCAAGGTGGCTCAGCTGGTGGGAGTGGCTTCGCTGGCCGTGCCCATAGCTGCGTGGACGCAAGGGGTGAGACGGAGAGAGTGAGAGAGTGAGAGAGTGAGAGAGTGAGAGAGTGAGAGAGTGAGAGAGTGAGACAGTGAGATAGGGAAGAGAATAGTTAGTCCAATATATAGGCTTTTCTTGCACTTGTCTGCGCCCCAGCATCTACATTAATGAAAGGACCGTTCGAGACAGTGAAACAGTGAGAGAGTGAGGGAGGGAGAGAGTGAGGGAGGGAGAGAGTGAGGGAGGGAGAGAGTGAGGGAGGGAGAGAGTGAGGGAGGGAGAGGGGGGGAGAAGAGAGGGGAGGGAGCAGTAGTGAGCTGCTGGGTGGGGGTGGCGTCACTGGCTGTGGCCATAGCCGCGTGGACGCAAGGGGTGAGTAGAGAGGAATGAAGAGGGGGTTCTGGTTAGTCAGTTAGTGGAAGAGAGTAAGACGGCAGGAAGAATTTCGAATGCTTGTGGCTACAGATGTGTGCATGCTACAGATGTGTGCATGCTACAGACGTGTGTGCGCTACAGATGTGTGCGTGCTACAGATGTGTGAGTGCTACAGTTGCCCTCATGCCAATCGCGTTCCTCCTATTACTCTCACCCCCATCAGGCCTCTCTCCCACTGGGAACGAGCGTGGCAGTGGCAGCAGTGGTGGGGGGTGCCGCAGCAGCGTCTGCCTGTCTCTGGTTTTACTCCTCGCGATACGTGGGGGAGCTGGCTCTGATCAAGGCACCTACTGCTGCTGGGGCTAAGGCTGGTGGTGAGGAGAATGGGCAGCAGTGGCGGGTGTGTATCAGCACGCTTGACTTCTGGGGCAACAGAGAGGTGAGAGAACAGAGGGGCAGCAGCAGCGTCTGCATGCAGGTGGGCGGTGGTGCTGATAAGGATGGGCAGCAGTGGCGGGTGTGTATCAGCACGCTTGACTTCTGGGGCAACAGAGAGGTGAGAGAACAGAGGGGCAGCAGCAGCGTCTGCATGCAGGTGGGCGGTGGTGCTGATAAGGATGGGCAGCAGTGGCGGGTGTGTATCAGCACGCTTGACTTCTGGGGCAACAGAGGGGTGAGAGAGCTCCTTCTTATCAGCGGAGGAGGAGAGAGCTCAGGCAAGCCGAGGGGTTTGAAAGAGATTTGGCTTGCCGTGTATGAGGGGATTCGGCATGTGTGGACGAGAGGGGTGGGGAAGGGTGTGCACGAGGGGGTGTGTTTGAAAAAGTGATTTCTTTTATGCTTGCATCACCCTTTCATGCGTGCATCTGGTTTTTCCACTCTGTCCCTTGCTCACCATCTCTCCTCCCCTCCACACGCCCCCCTGACCCCCCTTGCCACTTGTCCACAACCATTACTGTCAACCTTGACCATTTAATCGGGACCGCCCATTCGTGACTGCCAAATCGTGGCCGTCCAATCAGAACCTCAGATTGCCTCTCAGGTATCTCCTCACCTTCCCCCCTTATCTCTCTCATTCTCTGTTCCCACCAAGTGGCCCCAGTTGCTCCCACCTGCACCCACCTGCACCCACCTGCCCCCACCTGCCCCCACCTGCCCCCACCTGCCCCCACCTGCCCCCACCTGCACCCACCTGCACCCACCTGCACCCACCTGCACCCCTCCTACGGCTGGCCCTCACCATCCACGTTCCTTGCATCCCTCTCACACAGACTACCCCACCCACATACGTGACCTTACCTGAAACAAATACCACTCCCCCTCTATACCCTCTCCCTCCGCCGTTTCTTCCCCACCCCCTCCCTCCTCAATTCCGTCCCTTCTCCCTCCTCCGCGCCTCACCCCACTCCGGCCGCCCCTCACAGTGCCCTGGTGCCCCCACTTAAGGGTCTATCGCATCAGAACATGAAGGCTATTGCACACCACAGCTTTGTGCCGCTCGATGGTGAGTGAGTGGCAGGGGGGGACCGATGTGAATGGTTTTTGAGGCGCCTCAGAGTTCACTATAGGGGCTATCCCTGCAGAACATGATGGCTATTGCACACCACAGCTTTGTGCCGCTCGATGGTGAGTGAGTGGCAGGGGGGGACCGATGTGAATGGTTTTTGAGGCGCCTCAGAGTTCACTATAGGGGCTATCCCTGCAGAACATGATGGCTATTGCACACCACAGCTTTGTGCCGCTCGATGGTGAGTGAGTGACAGGGGAAGGGATGGCAATGGTTTCTACATAACATTCTTCTTGTTCTTTAGCCTTCACTCACACCCTGCTCAACTCCTTGCTCAATGTCTATCCTCCCTCTCTCTCCTGTTGCTATGTGTCGTATACAAACCCCATACCCCTCTCTCTTTCCCATCCTCCCCACTCCTCCCTCCCACCACCTTTGTTCGCAACTACCCCCTGCCTCGTGTCCCAGTGCCCTCCCACCGGCAGTTCCGGGCCGCATCCCCAACCTGCCCCTGCTGCTTTGAATGATCTCACAACCCACTCTCCCTTTTCCCCCTTTTTCCCTCTCCCGCCCCCCTTCTGTTTCCCCTTCCCCCTGTTTCCATGTCCCAGTGCCCTCCCACCGGCAGTTTCTGCTGAGCATAAGGCACGGCCGCATCCCCAACCTCCCACTGCTGCTTGCCCTACTGAAAGGCGACGAGGGCTGGGAGAAGGAGATTCGCTGCTAGCTAGCCGCTGCGACTTCTGAGGCGCCTCAAAGGGCGCATCTCCAACCTCTTTTGAGATGTCTCGAAAGGAGATTCACTGTCAGCTAGCCGCTGCGGCTTCTGAGGCGCCTTGAAGGCTATTCAAGGCACATCCCTAACCTCCCACTGCTGCTCGCATTGCTCAAATCAAGGGCGAGGAGGACTGAGAAGAGGATATCGACTGCTAGCTAGCTGCTGTGCTTCTTGTCTTGTGCTGGAAGAATGTTTCCAAGGCGCCTTGAAGGCCGCATCGGCAACCTCCCTCTGCTGGCAGTGTGTAAAGGGCGAGGTCTGGGAAGAGGCGATCCACCGCTAGCTAGCTGCTGCGACTTCTGAGGCGCCTTGAAAGCTGCATCACATCCCCAACCTCCCGCTGCTGCTCGCATTGCTCAAGGGCGACGAGGGCTGGGAAAAGACGATCCACTGCTAGCTAGCTGCTGTGCTTCTTGTCTTGTGCTGGAGTAATATTTCTGAGGCGCCTCATATCAGAAGGTGTCTCATCTCATGCCTTGCGAGAAGGATGTAGAGTTTTTCCTAGTTGAATGTCAGTTGTCGGCTAAGAATCGTCTGGGAGGGCTGGCTGGGAGGGCTGGCTGGGAGGGCTGGCTGGGAGGATGTGCTGACTACTTATCATTGCAGGGCCACCTCACCGGTAAGCTTATCAGCTTATCAATTTGAGTAACGTTCCGGGTTTTTATTCCAGTCGTCTGCTGCGATAACTCCCCTCTTCAGGCTATTGTACGGTACATTGTTTTGTAAAACAAGATTTTAATCCATGTAGGTGCCGGGTAGGTGGCGTAGATTCTTCAGCAGCATGGCAGGGTAGCTGTTAGGGCTAGCGCTTCTTCAGCAGCATGGCATGGGTAGCTGTTACGGCTAGCGCTTCTTCAGCAGGTCGTCAGCGCGCTTCTTGGCCTGCCTCACAATGCTGTTGGCCTCCGAGACATCGTCTGTCAGATGCTCTAGGCCCTCGTTTTGCCTGCCGTGCAGGGGACGAGGTGGGAAGGGAATGGGGGGGGGGATGGTTATGAGAATTCTCAAAAGCGATTTCAAAGCCTCGTTTTGCCTGCCGTGCAGGGGAGGAGGGGAGAATGGGGGGGGGGGAACGGGAAGGGCAAGTGGGGAGCGGAGAGCTTTGCTGTGCTGCTGGCCTCCGTGACATGGTCTGTCAGATCAGATGCTCTAGGGCCTCGTTTTGCTTGGAGGGGAGCCATATCCATGGCCATGAGCTGCCAAAAGTAACACCAATGAGCTGTCAAAAGTAACACCAACGGACAAGTGGGCTGCGGAGGCCTTGCTTCCATCTCAGCGAGCCGTGCCCATAGCCATATTGTGAGACATGTTCCGGCGAGCTGTGCCCATCTCCAGACTCACTTGTCCATCTCAGCGAGCCGTGCAAATAGCATATTCTTGAGTGCTTGTGGTGTGGTCCGTGTGAAAACAAAGACCAAGGGAGAGGGAGCGCAATCAAGCAAGCAAGACAGCAACACTCACTCGTCGATCTTGGCCCCCATGTCCCTGGCTATCTCCTTCGTCACTTCCAGCCCAGCGAGGTGACATTTGAGTCGACTCAAAAGCAAAACAGCCACACTCACTCGTCGATCTTGGTCCCCATGGCTATGGCTATCTCCTTCATCCTTTCCAACCCAGTGCTCACATCGCGCAGCATCTCGTTCTGGTACGTGCGCCCCATCTGAAAGGTGGGTGGGTGTGGGACGGAGGGGGAGGGAGGAGAAGGGAAGGGAGGTCAACAGGTGCCCATCGCTCACTTCGCCCATCACCTCTTCCTGGTACTTGCGCTCCATCTGTAAGGTGGGGAAGGGGGAGGGGGTAGAAGAGTGGCAGGAGAGTGGGGGAGTGAGCGAACCGCATTGTCCAGCCCAACGCTCACATCGTCCAGCATCTCTTCCTGGTACTTGCGCTCCATCTGTATTTTGAGACGTCTCAAAAGTATACCTGGTACTTGTGCTCCATCTGTAGAGGTGGGTAGGTGTGGGGGAAGAGAGGGGGGGCTGGCCAGGGGGGGGGGGGGGGGGGAAGGAACAGTAGGGGAGGGAAGGGGAGTCAACAGGGACCCATCACTCACGCCGTCCTGCACCTCGTCCTGGTACTTCCACTCCATGTTTGCGCGGGTCGAGCGGGGGTGTGGGGGAGTGGCACAAGGGGGCAAGGCACTGGGCGTACAGTCGCCCATCACCACTCACCTCACCCACGAGGTGACTTTTGAGTCGACTCAAAAGTCACTTTTGAGTCGACTCAAAAGTCACCTGGCGGCAAGGCACAGGGCGTACAGTCGCCCATCACCGCTCACCTCACCCACGGCTGTCATGCCTTCCATGCCTGATCCCCCTCCTTAGTCACATCAACGTACAGTCACCATAGTTCCCTCGCTCACCTCAATCCTCTCCATCACCGTCACGCTCTCCATGACTTGAGGCGGCGTCGTTCCCTCCCCCTCCTTAGTCACACTCGTGTACAGTCACCATAATTCAGTCACCATAGTTCCCTCTCTCACCTCGATCCTCTCCATTGCTGTCATGCCCTCCGTGGCTTGAGGAGGCGCTCGGCCCTCCCTGATTACTTTGCCTTTAGTCACTATAACGTACAAATGCTACAGACCCCCAGCAGTCACCGCAGCCCTCTCTCACCTCGATCCTCTCCATTGCCATCATGCCCTCCGTGGCTTGAGAAGGCGCCGGCCCTGCCTGAGCCCTCCCCCCTTACTCACGCTAATGTACAGTCACCTTAGCTGGTAGCCCTCTCACCTCGATCCTCTCCAATGCTGTCATGCCCTCCGTGGCTTGAGGAGGCGCCGCACCCGCCCGAGGCGCCGCGTCCGCCCTAGGCGCCAACAATCCCAAGGCCTCGCGGCTCGCCGCGTCCCCCGATGCCGAGTCATTCCTGTTGGCTGCAGGCGTGGCGCGGGGATGGGTAGGGGGGCGTGGGCGGGGAGGGGGAGCGGGGAGAAGAAAGCGGGGAGGGGGGAGTGGGGAGGGGGGAGTGGGGAGGGGGAGGGGGAGGGGGAGGGGGAGGGGGGAGCACAGCGTCTTGCATGCAGCACAGCACCGTACAGGACCTCATAGTACCGCACCAGGCCAATAATTCCCCCCTAACTTTTCCTCATTCCGTGTCAACTGCCTGTCACGAGGTCAGTTTCTCTCGGTTAATAAATAATGCATACATATTCAAATTCCCGAGCCTGAAATCAGTTCTTCAATTGTCGTACCTGGAAAGTATGTCTTTAATCGCCGTACCTGAAGTCTTGGGTCCCGTGATGTTGTGACCCTTCTTCGGCTTCCATCCTAGCGAGGAAATCCCACCGAGCTTGCCCAAAAGCTTCGTAGACTGGCGATGGGGAGGGACGGAAGGAGTGGAAGAGGCGGGGAGAGGGAGGGCGGCAAGGGAAGTTTGTTCAAACGCTTCTCAGTCTGACGGTGGGAAACGTAAAAGAGAACGTGCTGAAACAATCTTGGACTGGAACGGAGAAACGGGAAGAAAGAGAGTGGGAAACGGAGAATTAGACTCGAATCTTCTCGAACGCGCGGCACGGAGAGACGGAGGGAGGAACGCAGAGGAGGGGAGGCTAAATAAGTGATGGGGTCTGAAGCGGCTCATAGAGGCAGGGCAGAGCTAGGGAGATAAATAAGCAGGGATACACAGCCGACGGCCGGAACGACTATTGTCGAAGCACGGTGGCAGGAAAGCAGGCAGGAAGGCGGCACGGTAAAGGCAAGATGCACACAGAGATTCCTTTGACACAGGCACGGGTCGTTTCGTAGACGTCTCAAGAACAACTTATTTCACGTGGCTCCTGAGACACAGGCATGGGTCGCGCCATTACGTTGTCCCTCGAGTCGGCTCGGAGATTACCGCGTTTAGTTTTTTGCCACAAGCACGCCGCAACGAGTCGGCATCGTACCTTCTCAGTTACTGCGTTCTCGTGTATACACGCGACTTCAAGTCGAGTCAGGCAGGTCACCGCGTGTCCTGCTGTCATCGTACCTTCTCCATTTCTTGGTCCAGCGTAACAACGTTCTCGTGTATACGCGCGATCTGGTCGCAATGAACCCGCCGCAACGCGCATGAGCCAACCGATATTGTACCTTCTCCATTTCTTGGTCCACCGTGACGACGTTCTCGTGAATACGCGCGATTTGGGCGCAACGCAAAGAACACGCCGCAACGCGCATGCCATGCGCCAAATATCTTTGTACCTTCTCCATTTCTTGGTCCACCGTGACGACGTTCTCGTGAATACTCGCGATTTGAGCGCCATGCTCTTCGATCGTCTCCAGCGTCTGTCCCCCGATGGCAATGGTCTGCTCCGTGATTTGTAGGAGATTATGAGTCGCGTCCGTTAACTCGTTATTCTTCCGCAGCGCCTCGTCCTCGAGCTCCTTAAGCGTCTTCTCGCCGCCGCCGCTGCTGGATGATGCGGCGCGCTGCGAGGCGGGAACCCACTTGGCGTTGGAGCCCCAATCGTCGTCATCGTCGTCTTCGATGACTTGCTTACCCTTGTTGTCGCGAGGCGCCATGGTTTCAACCAATTGGTTTCAACCTTTGAATTCAGCCTCTTAATGCTACGCGTCGTGTGATTAAGGGTGCGGCGGGAATGATGCATCTTTAGGGAATGCGGGGAAGAAGAAGGTTCGCCGGGGGGGGGGGGGGGGGGGGGGGAGAAAGGGGAGTTGACGGGGAGGAAAGGTAGTGGTGGGAGAAGCAGACACGTCACGGTCACGGGTCACGGACCACGGACTACGGTCACAGCATTCGTCCTTACGGCAGATGAGCTACAACACGGGAGACGGCAGTAATGACGGCGCAGTTCTCGAGGTGCGGGGAGCGGGGGACGGATCAAATGAAGCGAGGTGATTGGTAGAAGGACTAAAGATCTAGTTCAAGAAGTTTGTCAAGATAATAAAGTTTAGAGGGGAGGGATGGGGCTGGGGGGGGGGGGCGAACACAGTCCCACCCGCAACCTGCTGTGTGAGGGCACGCTGTGACCACCGAGCGATTCGCCGGTACGCCTTGTTTCCTCCCGAACCGCGATTTGTTTTGCCTGGGACAGGGGTGGGGGATGTCCCCTATTTTCGCGCTCGAGACGCGTACGAGTTGTGCTGGCAGGGATTGGAAAACTACTTGAAAAGACGCGGGAGGTGTTGACGATCTTGACGAATCTTCGCATCCAATGAGAAGCAGTCACGTCAGGATTGCGTCTATCGTAACCAGAATTGGCTCTCCGGGGTCGGGCCAATATCAGCCGCACTCACATTTTGCCAGTGCATTCAGTCTGCCCTAGCTCCCTACCTCAGGCATTTTCAATGGATATTATTTTGTAAGGTAGGAAAGGTACAGTACGTGATTGATCGGAGGTACAGAAGTGGTTGGATCGTCTACCATGTCCCAAATCTCCGTTACTGCAGCACTAGATGCAAGCAAAGCATGGTTGGTTGTTTCACAAAATCTCCTCGGTGGTGATCTCAGCAAATAAAAATCCATGTACACGGTGGAACTATCAGGTACCCTAATCAAACAACAAAAAGGGGAGGTGGATACAGTAGGATATATATACTAGAAGTCTCGGCAACAGATAAACCACTGCAGGGTCGTTTAGTCAGCACCAGCAGAGGACAGCAACACACAGCTACGTAACAGGCGAAAGAAAGAAGCAGCGGGATTACCGAGAGAAATGCAGGACCCTAACCCAGCACCAACAGACGGGCACGGGAGACGAGGGAGAGACGGCAAGCAGATGACTCCTCGGAAGGCAAGCAGATGCCAAGGCTAAAGACAAGGGTTGTCTGGAGATGAGGGTCAGGGGGTAGCTGCTTCGGCTGGGATTGGTGGCTCGGATTGGTAGATGAGGGTCAGGGGGTTGGCTAGCGCTTGTTGAGCAGCTTGGCGGCGCGCTTGTTGGACTGCTTCACTCTGCTGTTGATCTCCGTCACATCGTTTGACAGATGGTCCAACGCCTTGTCTTGCCTGGAGGATGGGAATGGAGGCGGGAAAAGGAATGGGGATGGGAAGGGACGGTCGGTTAGCTGTCTATGGTGGGCTAGCACGCTTGCCAAGCAGCACTCCCATATCCATCTCAGCACTCCCATATCCATCTCAGCACTCCCATATCCATCAAAGCACTCCCATATCCATCAAAGCACTCCCATTTCCATCAAAGCACTCCCATATCCATCAAAGCACTCCCATATCCATCAAAGCACTCCCATATCCATCTCAGCGCCCACCTCAGCTCTCACTTGCCCATCTCCGACCCAATAGTCATGCCCTAGTACTTGTCTCAGCTCTCACAACATGTCCATCTCATCACCCACACCCACTTTTCCATCTCAGACCCCGTGTCCAAGGCCATGTTCTTCAGAGCGTCCAGCCCAGGTGAAAGCGGAAGCAAAGGTGAGGAAGCAGATAGAGGGAGGCGAGAACATAGAGAAGGCAACTATGTGACTCACTTTTCCATCTCGGACCCCATGTCCAAGGCCATGTTCTTCAGCGCTAGTAATCGTCTCAGCCCTCACATGCCCATCTCATCACCCATAGAGGCAGACAGGCAACGTGTGACTCACTTTTCCATCTCCGACCCCATGTCCAGTGCCATGTTCTTCATCGCGTCCAAGCACTCATCTCAGCACTCTCATGTTCATCTCAGTGCCCACCTCAGCAGCTCACTTGACATGCCATGTTAACACTCACTTTTCCATCACGGACCCCATGTCCATGGCCATGTTCTTCAGCGCTAGTACTCATCTCAGCTCTCACACTCCATCTCATCACCCAACCCCACACTCACTTTTCCATCTCATCACCCAACCCCACACTCACTTCTCCATCTCATCACCCATCTCCCCACTCACTTTTCCATCTCGGACCCCATGTCCAGGGCCATGTTCTTCAGCGCATCCAATCACCCTCATATTCATCTCAGCGCCAATCTTGGCGCTCACTTGTCATGTCATCCCAGCACTCACTTTTCCATCTCGGACCCCATGTCCAGGGCCATGTTCTTCAGCGCATCCAGCCCAGAGCTCACATCGTCCAAAACCTCGTCCTGGAACTTGCGCTCCATCTGATTGGGGAGGTGGGGGAGGGAATGGGGGGGGGAGGGCGGAGTGGAAGGGGGGTCAACAACAAGGCCCCATCATTCACATCGTCCAGTACCTCGTCCTGGAACTTGCGCTCCATCTGCGCAGGCAGGGGGGGGGGCGTTGGGGGCAGGGCAAAGGTGGGTGGTCAAGGTGTGGGAAAAAGAGAGAGAGAGAGAGAGAGAGAGAGAGAGAGAGAGAGAGAGAGAGAGAGAGAGAGAGAGAGAGAGAGAGAGAGAGAGAGAGAGAGAGAGAGAGGGAGGGAGGGAGGCAACACCAGCGTCCAGCCCATCGCGCACATCGTCCAGCACCTCGCCCTGGAACTTGCGCTCCATCTGCAACCGAGGGGAGGGGAAACGGTGTGGGAGAGTGGGGGTTGCGGGGGAACCACATCGTCCAGCACCTCGTCCTGGAACTTGCGCTCCATCTGTTGGGGGGGGGGAGGAAGGGGGAAGGGGAGAAAGAGTTGGGGAGCGGAGGGGAGGGATGGGGGGTCAACAGAGGCCCATCGCTCACATCGTCCAGCACCTCGTCCTGGAACTTTCGCTCCATCTGCAGCGCGCCCTCAGGAGAAGAACAGGAGAAGAGTGAGGGAGCGAGGGAGGGTGGAGGGGGGAGGGACGGGGAGGGAGGGGTGGTGAGGGAGTTGAATGTTACCTCTGTACCAGAGTGGGAAGGGGGGGGAGGGGGGGAGTGGGGTGTGTGAGTGCGAAAACACCATCGTCCACCATAGGGAGCGAAAAAGGTGGAGAGGAGCGTCAGGAGAGGGGCAAGGAGCTCGTGGGGAGGGGCGGCAGAGGAAAGGGGAGGGCGAGGAGGGGCGGCGGAGGGGCGAGGAGGGGCGAGGAGGGGCGGGGTGGGGCGAGGAGGGGCGGGGAGGGGCGAGGAGGAGGGGCGGGGTGGGGCGAGGAGGGGCGAGGATGGGCGAGACTTTAGGAGTCACACTGTCACACTGATTCATCTCTCACCTCGATCTCCCTCATCGCTGTCCTGCTTTCTCCATGGCTTTAGCCTTCAAAAGTTGCCTGCCCTGCCTCATTATTTCGCCTAAAAGTCATACTCACGACAGCTCCTCCTTAGTCACAGTCACGTACAGTCATCATAGCCCTCTCTCACTATCTTCTCCATTGCCGTCACGCCCTCCATGCCTTTAGGGGCGCCGTGCCGTCCCTGAGCCCCCCTCCTTAGTCACACTCGTGTACAGTCACCATAACTCAGTCACCATCTAGCCTCTCTCACCTCGATTCTCTCCATCGCCGACACGCCCTCCGCGCCTTGCCAGGAGGGCGCCGTGCTTTTGAGGTGCCTCAAAAGGAGGGCGCCGTGCTTTTGAGGTGCCTCAAAAGGAGGGCGCCGTGCTTTTGAGGCGCCTCAAAAGGAGGGCGCCGTGCCCTCCCTGAGCCCCCCTCCTTAGTCACACTCGTGTACAGTCACCTTTGACCCTCCTACCTCGATCTTCTCCATTGCTGTCATGCCCTCCTTGGCTTTGGGAGGCGCCGCGCCCGCCTTAGGCTCCGACAACCCCAAGCCCTCGCGGCTCGCCGCGTCCCCTGATGCCGAGTCCTTCTTGTTGGCTGCACGCGGGGGAAAGAAGCGGGGGGCGGGAAAACAAGGCGAAGAGAGGGGCGGGGGGGGGGGGGGGGAGGAGGGGAAGGGGGAAGGAAGAAAAGGCAGGGGAAAGGAGGTATGGGCGGGGGTGTGCCTCTGCTGCGTAAACACGCGCTGAAGGTGAGAGTGGGTGCATCTGATTGGGCGTAACAAGGAAGTACTTTTCTCTCCCCGTCTTGTGTGTGCATGGATCTTAGCCCCCAGCTCCCCGCTCCCACCCCCCTTTCCCCCGCCCCCCCTCCCATCCCCCCCCCCCCCCCTCCCCCCCACCTTCCCCCAACCTCGCCCCTCTCCCCGTTGGAAAATTAGGTCTTTAATCGCCGTACCTGAAGTCTTGGGTCCCGTGACCTTGTGACCCTTCTTCGGCTTCCAGCCGAACGAAAACATCCCGCCGAGCTTGCTCAGAAGCTTCTCGGACTGGCGATTGGGAGAGACGGAAGGAGTGGAACGCGAGAGAGGGAGGGGAGGGGAAGGGGCGGGAAGGAGGAGAGGGAGGGTGGAAAGGGGAATATGTTCAGAAGCTTCTCGGACTGGCGATTGGGAGAGACGGAAGGAGTGGAACGCGAGAGAGGGAGGGGAGGGGAAGGGAGAGAAATGGCGGGGGGGAGTTTTTAGAAGCTTCTCGGACTGGCGATTGGGAGAGACGGAAGGAATGGAACGCGAGAGAGGGAGGGGAGGGGAAGGGAGATAAACGGCGGGGGGGGAGTTTTTAGAAGCTTCTCGGACTGGCGATTGGGAGAGACGGAAGGAATGGAACGCGAGAGAGGGAGGGGAGGGGAAGGGAGATAAATGGCGGGGGGGAGTTTTTAGAAGCTTCTCGGACTGGCGATTGGGAGAGACGGAACGTATGGAACGCGAGAGAGGGAGGGGAGGGGAAGGGAGATAAATGGCGGGGGGGAGTTTTTAGAAGCTTCTCGGACTGGCGATTGGGAGAGACGGAAGGAATGGAACGCGAGAGAGGGAGGGGAGGGGAAGGGAGATAAATGGCGGGGGGGGGTTTTAGAAGCTTCTCGGACTGGCGATTGGGAGAGACGGAACGAATGGAACGCGAGAGAGGGAGGGGAGGGGAAGGGGCGGGAAGGAGGAGAGGGAGGGTGGAAAGGGGAACTTGTTCAGAAGCTTCTGAGACTGACGAGAGGGAGAGACGCCGGGAAACAAATAAAGAGGAGAGTGAAGGTGAGTGAGAGGGACGGTGGGGGATACGGAGGGTGACGTTGGGAGTTTGTTGAGAAGCATACTGGCAGGAAGCAGGGAGGGGGGAAATTGGAAACGCGTACTTGATCACAGCAATTTCGGACTGTAACAGGGAAGAACGGGAAAAGAGACTTGCTTCAAAGATTCTCAAACACCCAGCACGGAGAAACTGAAGGAAGAGCACAGAACATAAAAAAAGCGGCGAGGGGCATGTAACAAAGGCGACGGACGGAACGGCGAGAAGACGCGGCGAGCAGCAAGGAGGTACGGAAAGGCCAGAAAACGCAATGGCGTTAGCTGAGACACAGACACGGGTAACGCGACACCACGTCGTCTTTAGAGCCGACTCGAAAGCTACCCTCGCTGAGCCCTCTGCTACCAAGCTATACATGCCAGCATGCACGTCGGAAACTTAGCACGTCGCAACGAGCACGTCGCAAGGAGAATCGTACCTTCTCCATTTCTTGGTCCAGCGTAACGGCGTTCTCGTGTATACGCGTGATTTGGTCGCCTTGCTCCTTAAGCGTCACCAGCGTCTGTCCCGCGACGCCCTTCGTCTGCTCTGTGATTCGTCGCAGATTGAGAGTCGCGTCCGTTAACTCGCTGTTCTTCTGCAGCGCCTCGTCCTCGAGTTCCTTAAGCGTCTGCTCGCCACCGCCGCCGGTTGCGGCGCGCTGCGAGGCGGGAACCCACTTGGCGTTGGAGCCCCAATCGTCGTCGTCATCTTCAACGACTGGTTTACCCGTGTTGCGACGCGCCATAGGTTCGACCGTTTAATATCAACCTCTTGGTTTCAGCCTCTTGGTTTTAGCCTCTTTGTTTCAGCCTCTTTGTTTCAGCCTCTTACTGCTAAGCGTGGTGTAATTAAGCGTTATCAGACCTCGACCTCTGACTCGCACGGCGCTCGCGGGTGTTTAATCTCCGCGATGAAGTGAACGAGACCGCGAGCAACGAGGAATAGAACTTTACAGGAGACGGGACACTTCACGCTTGAAGAAGCCGAGAAATGGGCTGGTGAAGTGCAGTGCTGGGCACTCGTACTGCTGATGGTGACAGCTGGAGGTTGAAACGAAACAAACTTCGAGGGCGCGGCGGGGATGTCGATGGGGGGAAGAAGAATGTTCGTGGGGGAAAAGTGGGGGTTAGGGGGAAGAAAGGTACAGTTGTGACGTCCAGGGGCCGGGGGGGAGAAGACCGTTGGGCGCTGTGGGGTGGTAAAAGGACAGGTGGGGCGGTTCTCTAGGTGCGGGCTGCGGTGTAATGGGGGGGCTTATCCGCAACCAGCTGTGTGAGAGCGCGCGCGGAAATGCAGCTTGCCAGAGAGAGCTCCGCGCACGAAGGTGGCAGCAATGCGCGGGAGAAGGGGGTAAAAGGACGAAATCGCGCGCATCGGCGGAAATCGTGTTTGTCTCAAAAGAATCGACCCAAATTGCTCCCCGCTCGCCACGTGGGCGTTTTTCTCAATTGATTCGACCCCCTTTCCCCCCGCCCCCCCAACCCGTTTTTCCCGCCCTTGCCCTCCGAAATTCGGGCACCCGCTAGAATCTCGTGAAATCACAAAACGTCACGAATACATGTTTTTTACATCAAGCCAAATCCACCATGTAGTTGTGGCATGCCACATCAGCGCCTGGCTCTGTCTGGCGGGTGGTGGGTGGTGAGGGAGGAAGGGAGAGGGGGGGAGGAGGAACGGAAATGAGGGCCAGGGGCATAGCGCGCTTGTTGGCTCCACAAATTTACATAATTAATAATGCTAGTTGGAACCTAAAGTACAACACAAACAACATTCAGGAGAAAAGGAGCAGCAGCAGCTGCAATCAGAAAGATGAACACGAGGGGAGATGCAGGGCATTGAGGCAGCACCAGCAGGCAGAGAGCCACCACATCTGCAGGAAACGAGGGAGAGAGTACTGAGGCGCCTCAACTCTTGAGGACTTCCGAGGTGAGGCGCCTCAAAAGGGAGAGACAGCAATCATTTGAAAAGCTGAAGGCTCAAGCAGCTGCTTAGGCTGGGCTAGCTGGCTCGGGTGGTTGGCCCTGGAGGTGGCTCGGGTGGTTGGCCCGGGGTGGCTCGGGTGGTTGGCCCTGGACGTGGCTCGGGTGGTTGGCCCTGGAGGCGTCTCGGCTAGCTGTTTGGGCTAGCGCTTGTCGAGCAGATCGTTGGTGCGCTTGTTGGCCTGCTTCAATCTGTCGTTGAGCGCCGTCAAGTCCTTTGATAAATGGTCCAGCGCCTGGCTCTGTCTGGCGGGTGGTGGGTGGTGAGGGAGGAAGGGAGAGGGGGGGAGGAGGAACGGAAATGAGGGCCAGGGGCATAGCGCGCTTGTTCTCTGTGGGTTCACTCTGCTGGTAAGCGCCGTCAAGTTGTCTGACAGATGGTCCAGCGCCTGGCTTTGGCTGACGGGTGTATCTACTCTATCTGCATAACTGCTGATCCCTGTCGCATCGCATCGGCTGAAGATGGTCCAGCCACACCGTCTGACAGATGCCTTGTCTTGCCTGCCGTGCATGGAAAGGGCGGGAGGAGGAGGGCTGGGTTTTGTGCCTAATATTACCATCTCCTCCGCTTTCCCAAAGCAGCACGCCCCCGTAATGCCCTTCCCACTCCTTCCTCTCCACTCGCGCACCTCACGCCTCACCTCTGGTGATTCTTCTTCGGCTTCCCTCCAAACGAAAACATCCCGCCGAGCTTGCTCAGAAGATTCTCCGACTGGCAGCAGCGAGAGACGGGAGGAGCGGAGCGGAAGGGGAGAGGTGGGGTTGCGGGAGGGTTGGGGTGAGGAGGAGAGGAGGGTGGCAGGGGGAAGTCGTACAGACGCTGCTCGGACTAACGAAGGGGAGAGACGGAGGAAACTAGAAGCATAAACTTGCACAGAAAATGCAGGGCAGAGCGCGGGAGCGCGGGACGGAAGGAATGGCAACTAGACGCGGCGAGCAGCAGCGCGGCACGGGAAAGTTGTCTATAAGTTGTCACAGGATGGAGGTGCACATGGATTGCTGTGGCACAGGCATGAGTCGCATCGCCACGTTGTCTATAGTTCGTCTCAAAACGTATTGCGTTAAGCACTCCGCTACCATGTTTTAAAGTCAGAACGTATAGCGTAAAGCACTCCGCTACCACGTTACCCGCGACAAGCACGTCGCAGAAAGCACGTCGCAGAAAGCGCGTCGCAGAAGCACGTCGCAGAAAGCGCGTCGCAGCGAGCATGTCGCAGCGTGGTCCAACTGACTCTCATGTATGCCCTGCGACGTACTTGTCTGTTTCTAAGGCGCCTCAGAAATAGGTCCCACCGTACTTATCCCATTCCTTTGGTCCAGTGTCACATCGTCTTGCTCCGCGGCGGATTAAGCGACAGCGGAGCGCAGCGGACTCAAGACCTGGCCGAAATATGGGACTGGCTGTTGTGCCATGTGTAGTGGCGAGGTGACACCCCAAGCTAAACAAGACTGCCCGCTGTTCCTCGTTATAACATAAATTCTTTTTGAGAGGGAGGCATTAATGTTTTCCCGATGCTAAGAACTCAAACATCATTACACACAAGTAATACAGAATTGGTGTAAGGCTACAACTTAAGGCACAACACCACAATAGAGACGACAAAACAAGAATAAGCCTACACTATCTCGACAGATTTTGCCGGAACCCGTGGCTTGTCTTTCTCAAAGCTCTCACAACAAAAGCTGACTTGGTCCAGCACAAAGTCAAAGACGTATACTATACTGAATAACCCAATCAAAATGGAGAAAGCTATGTAGGACCACTGTCAAGGGGGGAGGGCATGGGATGGGAGGGAGGGCATGGAAGAGGGAAAGCATGAGTTACAAGCACGAGTGGTAAGAAAGAAGATTGGCGGTTCACCTATAAAAAAATGAGATGTTAAACTCACGTCAAGGTCGTATCCAAACTTGGAAGTGGCAAGATCAAACCCGATGTAGGAGTTTGCCCACGCGATGGCCACCGTGCCGACGCCAATCACCCAGTGCAGCGCAAACCAGGATGGACGGCTGGGATGCTTCTTGAGCGGCCTCAGCTGCGCCACGATTGGCTGCGCAACAATCAGCACCATGACGGCCAATCCGAGCTGTCCGTGTGTCGACTGCAATGATTGCGACCCCTTTTCCACGAATGCCATGATGATTCCAGCGAGTGCGAGCAGCACAGCGGAGAGCATGAGCCACTTGTGCACCTCAAACGCCATGGGCTTGCTCACCCATGGCTTCCTGCCAACTGCTCCCCCTGTTGCTGCTGCACCCCCTGCTGCGCCTGATACTGTTGCTGCTGCTGCTGCTACGGGTGGACCGCCAACGGAAAGAGCAACAAGAGCCATGCATCTTCTCCCATCTTCTGCCATCACGCCGCTGGGAAGACTGCTTTTAGGGGGACTGCTTTTAGGGGGACAGCCTTTAAGGGGAGTGCCTTTAAGGGAACTGCCTTCCTCCTCTGCCAATGCTGCTGCCCCACCGTGCTTCTCACCAAGCATCGGCTCCCCCAACCCACCAGCCGCTGCTGTGCCTGCTGCTGCTGTGCCTGCTGCTGCTGCTGCTGCTGCTGCTTGCACCAGGGTTATGTGCAGCGCCAGGGGCAGCATGGTGCACAGGCATGGGCTTATCGGCTAGGAAGAGCCGCGATGTGAGGATGGCAGCAGGCATGAGTATGCCAAAGGCGACAGTGAGCAGCCATGCGTGCACCGTGTAGAGCGTGGCGCTGCTGCTGCTTGTTTCCCCGTCCTCGGATGCTCCTGTTGCGAAGTTGACTGTAGCAGAGCCTCTGGTAACGGGGGTTTGAAGGGAAGGGACAGAGAACATGAGTATGGCAAAGGCCACTGTGAGCAAGCAACCATGCATGCACGGTGTACAGAGTGGTGCTGCCGCTGCTACCCTCGCCAACATCTGATGCTCCCGTCGCAACGTTGACCGTAGCAGAGCTTCTGATAACGGGGATAGGAAGGGAGGAGGGCAGGATGGGAGAGAGAGGAGACGAGGGTCAAAGGCCACTGTGATCAGCCACGTGTGCACGGTGTAGAGCGTGGCACTGCTGCTGCTTGATTCGCCCTCCTCTGAAGCCCCCGTCGCAAAGTTTATTGTAGCAGAGCCCCTGTTGGTGGGGATTGGGGAGGGACAGAAGAGCATGGGCACCAAAGGCCACTGTGAGCAGCCACACGTGCACGGTGTAGAGCGTGGCACTGCTGCTGCTTGATTTCCCGTCTGATGCTCCCGTCACAAAGTTGACTGTAGCAGAGGCCTCTGATAATGGGGATAAGAAGGGACGTGGCCAGAGAAGGGGAAGAGGAGGGAAGGGCACCACGTGAAGAGAACAAGGTAAGCGGAAAGGGAGCTATGGGAATGCGGCATGGGCATGCAGCATGGCACTTTTTTTTGAGGCGCCGAGGCATGAGATTTGGTATTTAGTGAATGCACGAGACTCACGCTTTAGGCCCGTGGTCGGCCAGTTGCTGCGAGTTATTGCGCGAGTAAGCCCAGATGACAGCGCTGCTGTCCACTGGGAACTCCCCATCGCTCATCGACTGCTCAAACTTCACTTCACCACTGTCCGCCCATTGCCCGTCTCCACGGCCGCGTTGGTAACCGCAAGCGACATCAAAGTCAATGAGAGTCGCTACAAAGTGAATGCATGGTGGCCTGAGAGGCGGAGACTCACGCATTAGGCCCATGGTCCGCCAGTTGCTGCGAGCCATCCCGCGAGTAAGCCCAGACGACAGCACTGCTGCTCACGGGGAACTCCCCATCGCTCATCGACCGCTCAAACTTCACCACCGTCCGCCCATTGCCCAATTCCACAACCGTGTTGGTAACCGCAAACGAGCTGGTAACCGTGACATCGCTGGCGCCATAACCCGTGATTGAATACGCCCCCACAGCCGCTGCAGCATTCCCAATAGTAAGGAGAGTGTCAGTGGGGAGGTTGCCGATGGCGGCTTCAGCAGGGTACATGCGTCCAGAGGCAGACCATCCGAGAGACACCCACCCACTTGTCGCTGCTTCTGCTGCCAGGGAAATGGTGTTGGTACTGCTGGTTTTCCAGTGCAGTATGAAGCTGAGGGGATGGGAGAAGTGTACGATGGGGGAGAATGAGTGACGAGACGAGATCGGGTAAACTCGCTTGGTAGTTCCAACCAGTTGCTGCTGTTGCGGCTGCTGCTGATCCATTCCCCATGCCCCATGCCTCATACCCCATGCACCATAACTCCTTCCTGCCCCACGCCATGTGACATGGCTCCTTAGCACTCACTTGTCGCTACTGAGTTGCACCATGCAGTCACATCCGGCCAGGGATGGTTCCGTGCATGCATTGCTGCTTGTGAGACGTCTCAACGGCTCACCACTCACTCACTCATCTACCCCACATGGCTCTTGGCACTCACTTGTCGCCGCTGAGTTGCACCATGCAGTCATATCCGCTCAGGGATGACCGCCACTCACTTTCACGCACTGTTGCTTGCAGGACGTCTCAAAGATCTGACCACTCATGTATCCCTGCCCACATGCCCCTTGGAACTCACTTGTTGCCGCTGAGTTGCACCATGCAATCATATCCGGCCAGGGATGATGCCGTGCAGGCATTGCTGCTGCTGCTACTATCGGATGCTGCTGCTGACGTGGCGCCCAGTGATTGGCTGTCGGAGCCCTCAGCAGATGCAGAGGTGCCGTTGTTGGCAGAAGCAGCAGAGGAGCAAGTGAAATCCACTCGAACGACTCCACTGAGCACATGTGACAACAATGGGGGTGACAAAAACGGGGGTGAGAAGAACGGGGGTGACAATAACATGAGAACAGATACTGAGTAACCGACGGGAGTAAGAGGGCGAATGAGAACAGCAAAGGAAGCTTGTTGACTGAAAACGAGCCATTGCCGGTAAGCAACAACGTGGTAACCAGAAGGTGTGTAACAGTGTGGTGACCAGCAGGTGTGTAACAGTGTGGTAACCAGCAGGTGTGTAACAGTGTGGTAACCAGCAGGTGTGTAACAGTGTGGTAACCAGCAGGTGTGTAACAATGTGGTAACCAGCAGGTGTGTAACAGTGTGGTAACCAGCAAATGAACTCACTCGTTCTGGTTGTGGAAGTCCAGTGCCTGCGAGCCGGATCCAGAAAACGCCCACACGAGGGTATTTACCCCAGTAAAATCCACCGGGACTATTCCCCCGTCCCCTTCCGTCCGGGTAAACTTCACCACAGTCGCTCCGTTACTAGCCGCCTCAGTACTCGCTTCAGTGACCGAAAAACTGCTGGTGACCGTAACATCGGACATCTGGTAACCAGTCATGGCATACGCAGCAACCTCGTTTCCTGGAAGGTTCCCGATGACAGCGTCAGCGGGGGCCATCCGGCCGTCCGTTGACCAACCGATGGAGATCCAACCGTTCTCAGCCCCACTGCCCTGCTGTGCCTCAAGAGCCAGTCGCAGCTGTGCTGTTCCCCCATTATTTCCACTGCTGCTGCTGGCGCTGCTGCTGCTGCTGCTGCTGCTGCTGCTGTTGGTTGGGGTGGTGCCACTAACGAGCGTCCAGTGGAGGAGGAGCCCGTACGTTAGAGTCACAGAGTGCTCATAACCTGAAAGGGACGAGGCCTGGCAAACTGACCCTGCACCAGATCCACCGCCCACTCCTGCTCCTTCTCCCCCTTCCCCTCCTTCCCCTCCTTCCCCTCCTTCCCCTCCCTCCCCTCCCTCCCCTCCGTCTCCCCTCCCCCCTTCCTGCTCCCCCTCTCCGTTTCCCCACTGCTCCCACTCCTCCCCGTCTCCCCACTCTCCCCCCTCCTGCTCACCACCATGCTCACTCCCATGCTCATGGTCTCCGTCGTGGGGAGGAGGGTAATAAACAGGCGGGAAGGGAAACGATTCGTTATAAGCAGGCGGGGTGGAGGGAGGAGTGGGAGCGGGAGTCGTGCTGTTGGTGGTGCTGCCACTGCCAGTACCGTTCGAGCTACTGCCCGTTCCGTTGCCCGTCCCGCTGCCCGTCCCACTGCCCGTTCCGCTGCCCGTTCCGCTGCCCGTCCCACTGCCCGTTCCGCTGCCCGTTCCGCTGCCCGTGGTGGAGTTAGTACTGCCGCTGCTGCCGCTTGAGCCACTGCCAGCTGTCGCGTTGCCATTGGTGCTCCCGGCGCTGCCTCCCGCAGAGGAGTTGGCCACAGCAGCAGCACCAACGCAGGAAAAGTCCACCGAGGTGGCTCCGCTGTTGAATCGGGGGAGAGGAATGAGCAGCAGGAGCGAGGGGAAAGAGCAGAAGGGCACGGATGAATGCGAGGATGAATGAAGGCCATGTGGATTCTAAAACAATCGGCGCTCGCTTCAAGCCGGAACGCGTAGGAAACTTGTGAACTCCGATGCACTCGCTTGGGAACAGCCATGGATGCCGGGCGCGGAGTTGAAGGGAAGTGCAGATAACCCTGTCGGTCGTACTGAGAAGAAAACAATATGGGGAAAAAAACAATCGAATCGGATGCACTCCCTCGTTGCGGCCGTGGAAGCCGAGCGTGGTGGAGCCCGACTGCGAGTAGGGCCAGATGACCGTGTTCACTCCCGCTTGATAGTCAAACGCTGACTGCTAATTTCATGCAGCGAATGAAAAACCCTAAGAATGAGCAAGGTATTTGCGAAACGCACTCGTTGCGGCCGTGATAGCCGAGCGCGGTGGAGCCGGACTGCGAGTAGGCCCAGATGATAATGTTCACCCCCGCCACGTCCACTGGTATGGCGCCGCCGTCGCCGCTCGCGCGGGAGAACCTGCCGTGGTGGTGGTGACGGACGGGTTTAGACCGAGCGCGAAATCATTTCGTGCCACATGCTTACGGGAATGCGTCAGAATTGGATTATCTTCGAAGTGTGTGAATGCCGGAATGTGATTAGGGAGTCGAAAATCGCAGGTATGCCTGCCCTGACTCGTTCGCGGAAAATAACTCGTGACCTAATCTCGAGAAGTCTGGAAAAGTGGAAGAGTCGCTGGTCAGGAACACAAAATACCGGAACGTGACGATCGATGTACAGTATACAGTGTAATGCAATAAAACAAACAATACTCAGAGTGTAACAGAAACTAAACCTAGTAGACTCAACCATTTCAACATAAACAAGTAAACAATTTTAACAGTTGAGAGCAAATTACTCACTTCATGATGGTTCCGCCGTTAGACGTCAGCATTTCGGCAGTACCGAGGGCGAAGCTGCTGGTCGGCGCCACGTCAGCATCGCCGTACCCGCTTATGTAATACGCGCCCATGCTTCCGCCAGGCAGGTTCCCGATGACGCAGTCCGCGGGGTACATGCGCCCATCCGCGGACCACCCGGCGGAGATCCAGCCGGTCTCCGCGCCGCTGCCCGCCTTGGCTTCGAGCGCCATCTGCAGCGCGCCTGTCTGCGCGCCGCCGTCCAGCGCGGCCCAGTGGAGCACGAGACTGCGCGCCGCGCAGGGGTTACGGGACAGTTTGATGATGATAAAAAAAAAAAAATAAAGAAAAAAAAATGACAAAGTTGACCAAGCGGTGGAACTGAGCGCGGAGCTTCGGAAGTACATTCAACAACTTGTTGGACGAAACCGAGGAGATGGCAGGGGCGTACTATCTGCTGGGCCGAAAGAGACGCATGCACCGCGGGGGAATATTGGCGAAGAATGTCTGCTTTTGGGGGGGGGATTTTTCCACCTACCCGTTACCCGAGAGGTCGACGGAGCTGGTGAATCCAGTGAGAGAGGAGCTCTGGCATGACGCCGCCCATGCGGCGCCGCTAATTGACAGCACACTTAGTGCTGAAATTAAGAAAAGGCTGAGACTGAAGAGACGTGACATCATCATTTTTTACTAGCACCAAACCAACGGAAAAAAACAAGAATGATGCAAGAATGATGCAATTCGCGGAGATGGTCGCTAGACAAGTACACGGAGATGGTCGCTAGACAAGTACACGGAGTGTATGTGGCGGTGAACAATGTGGGGGGTGGGGGGTGGATTTGGTGAACAAATTGGATGGATGGGATGGAATGGAATCGTTGGATTGGTTTGTCCATTTTATATGTGCGCGGCTCGTTGTACGGAGGCTTTGACTGGGCTTGGGGAACAATTTTCGTTGGTGCTCGTCATTCCAGGCTAGCGTGACTCGCGTGTATCCGTTCGATCAAGCTGCGGTGGAATTCGGTCTGGCAGCGCGAAAAGGCTTGGGGACTTCGGGATAACGTGAACAAACGGACAATGACCTTGGACGAGTCAGCGCATATAGAGGTTTGTGGATGAAGTGGTAACCTTCCCTAACGAAGCAATTCACTGGCTTTCATTGGCTTGCGAAGAACTGGCCTGGCACAATGGACCGCCACATACCATCCGCGAAGCGCAGCGAACGAGACTGGTCAAAAGGTGCTGACCATCCCAGTTTACTAAGGTGTAGGTAATGTTGCGTGTTACTTGTATTTGAAGCGTGGTAATATCATTTGAGTGAGTTTCCCTAAGCGAAACCCCTGAGTTCCGCTCCTCCGCCCTATGCATTCACAATCGTCTAACACTATGCTGGTTACGGTGTACCTTTCTCCATTATGCGAATTTCTCCGCCCAACACACCCAATAACAAACGAGGCTCCGCCACGTTCTCCATTACGGGTCACCACCTAGTCCGCACAAAAAACCCCGCGAAGCTCGTGCTGAGCCTACGCGGACCGACTTCGTCACACACAAAACGCCTCGCTATTGGTTAAGACCGATTCGGCCCCTGACCATTTCAGCTTCGGAACAGAGCCACAGACTGAACACGTTTCACCCGAACCAGACTGGGGCTGCGGTCGAACCGCATGCGCTTCAGAATCGAAAGCCAATGGGAGCGAACCACGAGATTGACGAGCTAGACGATGAGATCGGGGGCGTCGGTGTTTTCGCCGACATCGGTATTGTCACATCACATCGACGAACCGCGGACTCCTTCCTTCCTTGCCAGACAAGCTGGTTGGCAAACCAGCTTCTGGCGTAGTCTAGGCTCAAGTGGAGATCACATCTATGCCTGAAAATTAGTGCCACTAGTGTCACTCTAGTGTGTCGTACGGTATTATTCTGTTTCGGCTCGCATCCAAACGAGGCGGAACAAGCTCGCACATGACGTGACGACTGCTCGAAAGTCCATCAGTGCGATTTATACAAAGAATCTTCGCAGACATTTCTAGTTGAGACATCTGAAAAGTCTCTTCATGGCGTCGCCTTGGTCTTATCGAGCTGGCGCGGGACGTTACTCGTTAGTACCAGCCCTTATGCTGCTCGTGATGTATAGCTTCGCGTCGCAGCACCAGCCACGAGCCACTGCGTTCTCTCTCAGGGTAGCGTCTCCGTTCCGCACTCGCACGCACGAGGAAGATGATCGATCCGCGTCGCCGGCGATCGCGCGACGAAAGCTCGCGTCGTCGCTGCCGTGCACGAACTCGTCGCTCTTCGGCTACGCTTACGCCGTGCAACTCGGCGACGGGTACGCGCGCCGCGTAGTTGAATCGCACCACCGTTTCCCGCCGTTCTGCTGCCCATCACATGTCAGTCCCTTCATCCCTCCATCATCTCTCCCTCTGCCCTTCCTTTTTGTCCTTCATCCCCTCCTCCCCCCCTTCCCCCCTTCCCCCCTTCCTCCCCCAGTCTCATTCTGCACTGGAAACCCCAGGTCGGCAGGGTGACGGACATGGCGCTACAGGCGGTCGCGCTTTCGGGCGCGCAGAAGGGGTGGATCTCCGTGGGGTGGTCGGGCGACGGCCGCATGTCTCTCACCTCCCACCGCATCCCACCCCTCTTTCCCTTCCTTCCCTTCCTCCCTCAGTCTCATCCTGCACTGGAAGCCGCAGGTCGGCCGTGTGACAGACATGGCGCTACAGGCCGTGGCGCTCTCGGGCGCGCAGAAGGGGTGGATCTCCGTGGGGTGGTCGGGCGACGGGCCGATGTCTCTCACCTCCCACCGCATCCCACCCCTCTTTCTCCCCTCCCCCCCCCTTCCCCCCCCCCCCACCCGCAGTCTCATTCTCCACTGGAAGCCCCAGGTCGGCCGCGTGACAGACATGGCCTTACAGGCGGTGGCCTTATCAGGCGCGCAGAAGGGGTGGATCTCCGTGGGGTGGTCGGGCGACGGCCGCATGTCGCGCAGCGACGCGGTGGTGGGGAATGTGGCGGGATACCCCAGCAACATCGTTGCGCTGTACCTGGCGGGGCGAAACTTCGCGGATGTGAAGCCTGCTGGATACGACCTGGGCAGGACGGTTCTGGAGCAGGGCTCTACTGGCTCGTTTGTCATCAAGTGAGTGTCAAGTGGTGGTCCGGTAGGGTAATGGGAGGGGGGGGGGGGGGGGGGGGGGGGGGGGGAGAAGAGCGGGAGGAGGGGGGGGGGGGGGGGGATGGGGGGCAAGGGGAATGCGGTGGTGGGGAACGTGGCGGGGGTACCCCAGCGACGTGGGTCGAGTCGATGTCCCGAGCAGGACGATGGCGGGACAACAGTTACAAACGTGCAAACGTGGGTTTTGTCGCAAAAGCTCCTTGCTCCTTGCTGTCCCCTCACTACTGCAAATTCTCCGGGCGTGTAGACGATGGCACGCTGCGTTTTGACTCCACAGCGTCAGAACGCTCTACTAACACTCTCACCCAAGTTTGCTGCGCCACCTTGCCTCTCCCCCCTTCCCCTCCCCTCTCCCCCCTCCCCCGCCCTCCCACCCGCACTTCCCTTTCCTCCCCTGCACTACTGAAAGTTCTCCTGGCGTGTCGACGATGGCACGCTGCGTTTTGACTCCACAGGCGCCAACACGCCCATCACCCCTCTCGTCCCTTTCCCCCCTTGTCCATTCCCCTTTTCCCCAACCCCCCTCCACCCCTTCCCCCTGCACTGCTCCAGGTTCTCCCGGCGGGTGGACGATGGGACAGTTCGGTTTGACCCCACAGGCGCCAACACGCTCATCTGGGCATACTCCGCCGATCCTGGATCAACAGAGCTCGGCTTCCACGGGGGAAACAAGTATGTGCTGTGCTGTGCTGTGCGGTGCTGTGCTGTGCGGTAGGGTGCGGTTATGTGCTGTGATGTGTCGTGCTGTGCTGTGGTGACTGTGTGGTGCCAACACGCTCATCTGGACCTACTCCGCCGATCCTGGATCGACAGAGCTCGGCTTCCACGGGGGAAACAAGTATGTGCTGTGCTGTGCTGTGCTGTGCTGTGCGGTGCTGTGCTGTGCGTGATGTTGTGGTGATGTGTGGTGGTGTAAGGTGTTGTGCTGTGGACTTTGCAGGTAGACTCTTTCCATACGACTCACTTTCCATGTTCCATTTCCCACATCGCACATTTCTCTCGCTGCACATAAAGGAGAACTGTGCTGGTGTACTTTTCATGCACCGGCAAGGCAGCAAACGCAATTGTACAGGAATCTGGTTCAGTGGTTGTCTGATTTTCTTTCTATTTGCTCCACGTGCAGGGGATCAGCACTGGTGGACTTCTCGTGCACGGGCAAGCCAGCAGGCTCTCTAGCCCAAAGGAGCTCTTGGTTAGGGGCAGCGCTGGCAGTTGTGGCCATACTCTGCCTTGCTTTGTAAACTCCCCTCTCTGCTATTTTGTGATGACTTGCTTTGATCACGCCAACAGCTAACAGCAGGCAATTCAGGCCTGTATTGTGGAATGCGCTTCATTCGCTAATATGATTGAATTGACAGGGGATCAGACTGTTTGTGGAACAGCACGGTGAAAAGCATGGGAAAAGCTTGGCCACTACAGGTCCTCGTGAGCAGCTACCATAATACTGTATGTGGGTGGATAAGCCCACCTTTATTCATAACTGCTTGCAGGCCATAACATCTCAGGCCTTCAAGCCATCGCCCCCTCATACCTGCCCAATTGCCCTCACACCCTCACACCCACAACCTTATGCTTACGCATGCCCTCGCGCCTCAACCCGCCACTCGAGGTCTTCGTGAGCAGTTGCAGCTGAAAACCCGCCCAGCGCCCGCGCTGACTCAGCGCCAGCACGCGCACTGTCAGCCTCGTCATCCTCATGCAGCGACAGCCTGGCGAGCGAATCCAGCAGCTCCTGGGTCGCACCAGTGCTGCTGACGTTTCCTCTCGTGCCGCCACCGCTACTGCTGCTGTTGCCTCCGGCAGTGCTGCTGCTGGTGATGCTGGTGGTACTGCCACTGCCAGAAGATGTAGTGGGGCCACCAAAGGTGGTGCTAATGGTAGTAGAGGAGGAGCCTGTAACGGATCCCCCAGGTTGAGACTCAGATGGGAGGTCGGGGGGAGGGATGGAGGCGGGGAGAGGGCAGCCTGTGTAGGCCTTGTTTCTGCGGCAGTACTGCAGCAGCGCGCCCCAGCAGCGATCCTGTGGAAAGAAAGGGCGGGAAAATGTGGGGCGGTTGGGAGAGTAAGGATGGGAAAATGTGGCCTGATTGGGAAGATTAGCTGAAGCAGCAGACTCACCTGATACAAGAGATTTACATGAAGAAGCCAATTCACCTGAAGCTGAAGATTCACCTGAAACATCAGATTCACCCACCTGCGCCAGAAGGTTGGGGTTGCCCACAGTGATGAGCACCTGCTTGGCCCTCGTTACAGCCACATTGAACCTTTTAGGGTTCGCCAGAAACCCCAGGTTGTGCTTATAATCGAACTCCACAAACTGCTGACTCGATCGCACAGTCGATACAATCACAACCTGCCTCTCCTGCCGTATTAAGAAAGATTTACAGTGTACCTGAAACATCAGACCCACCCACCTGAGCCAGAAGGTTGGGGTTTCCCACAATAATCAGCAGCTGCTTCGCCCTCGTTACAGCCACATTGAACCTCTTGGGGTTCGCCAGAAACCCCAGGTTGTGCTTATAATCGAACTCCACAAACTGCTGACTCGACCGCACCGTCGATACAATCACCACGCGCCTCTCCTGCCCCTGAAATTCCTCCACACTCCCCACCTTCACCTCTCCCATCCCCTTCCCTCTCAGCAGCACCTGCAGCTTCTGCATTTGCTTCCGATACGGGGTAACCACCCCAATGTCAGACAAAGGAACCCGCTGGCTCCTATAGCCCATTAAAGAGGTAATGTATTTCAGAACCACGCTCGCTTCGGTCGGGTTGAAAAATGACGGGCTGTTACCCTCCCTCTCATCCTTCCCCATCACCCCGTGGAAAATAATTGGGAATTCATTTTTGTTGGGCAGCTCATCCCACCGACAGAGCGAAGATCGGGCCATCTCGTCCGCACACGCCTCCAGCTCCCCCTCGTAAAACATTTCGTTGGGCAGCTCCAAAATTTTCGGGTGTGACCGGTAGTTCTTGACTAGCTTGGTTATCGCGCTTGTGTTGTAACCAATGTAACTCCCGTCCTCCTGATCCTCCGCCGAGTAAATGCCGAGGCTCGCCAGCCGCTCGAGGTACGAGCAGGGGAGCTTGTATTTCCGGGCAGCGAGTGAGCGAACGACTGGGCCTAGCTGCTTGTGGTCGCCGGCCAATAGGATGACGGCATGTGGCGCGGCGTGGCATGCGATGGGGATGATGCCCTCTGGCTCGATGGCATGGCCTGCCTCGTCGATAAAGATGTGTGTGAAAGTGCCTCGGGGAACGCCTGTAGGGTGCAGGGAAGGAGGAAGAGAGAGTGGTGGAGATGATGCTCCAGCCACAGCATCACACCTGATTGGCTGGCCTGCCCGTAGAATGCCCTCTGCCTCGATGGGCTGGCCTGCCTGCCTGCCTCGTCTACGAAAATGTGCGTGAAAGTGCCTCGACGGATGCCAGCGGGGATGTGCAATGCAATGCCAGCGGCATCATGCCAGTACAGCAAGTCTAGGCAACGCAGTGCACGAATCTAAGGAAGACCATGCCCAATAAGTGGCATACCCATGCGGTAGAGCAGAGCAGCGGAGCAGCAGGTGACGGCAACGACCCGAGCGGTGTGGACCTCAGAGAGGGAGGGCAAGCGGAAGGTTCCCGTGGCAACATGTGCGTAAAACAAGTAACAACTACAACTCAAGCTAGACTGAGAAGAGGCTTACCCATGCGGTACAGTAGGGCAGCGGAGCAGCAGGTGACGGCAACAACCCGAGCGGTGTGGATCTCTGAGAGGGAGGGCAGGCGGAAGGTTCCCGTGGCGTCGTCATAGCGAGTGAATGGCAGCAGGTGCGTGTCCACCTCGTCGCGACCCCGGCTCACAGAGTACAGGCGCAGCATCTCACGCACCTGGAGGGCGGGTGAGTGGGAAAAAGGAGGGAGTACGAGGGGTTGGGTCAGAAAGGGGCCGTAGCGAGTGAATGGCAGCAGGTCGGTGTCCACCTCGTCCCGACCCCGGCTCACAGAGTAGAGGCGCAGCATCTCACGCACCTGGAGAGAGGGAGGTATGAGAATAGAGAGGGGATGCAACGACAAGGTGGTTGGGTTGGGTGTCACTGTCATGGTAGCGAGTGAATGGCAGCGGGTGTGTCTCCACCTCGTCCCGGCCACAGCTCACAGGGTACTTTTGCAGCAACTCGCGCACCCGGAGTGGGGGCGGAGGCAAGCTACAAAGAAACGATAAAAAAGGTTGGGTTGCAAAGTGGTTGTCGTGAGTGCACGGCAGCAGGTGCGTGTCCCCCTCGTCCCGACAGCGCCGCAGCTCACAGAGTACAGGCGCAGCATCTCCCGCACCTGGATGGTGGGCGGGAGGGGAGGGGGGTGCTAAGTGGATGCAACATGGGGTTGGACAATGGTGGTAGAGAGTGAATGGCAGCAGGTGCGTGTCCACCTCGTCCCGACTCCGGCTCACAGAGTACAGGCGCAGCATCTCACGCACCTGGAGGGAAAAGGGGGGGAGGGTGGATGAAACAGGGTTTCGGGTTTAAGGCCTCATAGCACATCACAGGACCTCATAGCCCCTCACAGGACCTCATAGCCCCTCACAGGACCTCACACCACCTCACATCTCATGGCACCTCACCTGTTGGACGGCGCACACACGAGCACACACGAGCACACGAGCACACACAGCACCCCACAGCACCTCACAGCACCTCACAGCACCTGCCAGCAACCTACAGCACAAAGGAAGACACACGGACCTGCAAGTTGCCTCTGAGGCGCAGTGCGATGTTGTCAGTGGCGCTGTTGGACGGCGCACACATCGTGCCTCATGACAGCTCACACCACCTCACGGCACCTCATACGACCTCACAGCACCTCACCTGCAGGTTGCCTTTGAGGCGCAGTGCGATGTTGTCAGTGGCGCTGTTGGACGGCGCACACACGAGCACACGCACTGAGGGCATCCCCTTCACCACCTGCGGTACACATGAGAACACAAGAGCCCACAGAAGAACACAAGAGCACACTATTTAGTCAGGTAAGCACAGACGCGTGAGGACATGTGCACACACACAGGCACACGTGCAGAGGGCATGCTCTGCACCACCTGTTGGATGCCGGTGCCACGCGGCCCAAACACGAAGCAGGGCGGGGGGTACGGACCGGGCCGGGTGCTGAGCTGTAAAATGGCTTCCACAGCACTCTTGGTCTTGCTGGTGCCGGGGAGTCCAAACACAATGCAAGGTAAATCGCGCGACACCCTAAAGCAAACTCAGCTGTGTGAAGTACTTTCAATTCAAACCAGCAGCCCCCCACCTGTGGAATGGCCTCTACGACCGTCTTGGTCTTGCCCGTGCCAGGCGGCCCAAACACGATGTAGGGGGGGAGGTAGGGCTCGGGCCGAGCGCTGAGCTGCAGGCGAGAGCGCACCAGCAGCTGTGAACAGTGAAAGTCCTTCCAAGCCTATAGCCCACCCACCTGCAAGATAGCTTCAACGACTGTCTTAGTCCTGCCAGTGCCGGGCGGCCCAAACACGATGTAGGGGGGGAGGTACGGCTCTGGTCTAGCGCTGAGCTGCAGGCGAGAGCACTCCAGCAGCTGTGATGGACACAATCAAGCCTAGAGCCAGCAGCTGAAACACTTGCCTGCAAGATAGCTTCAACTACAGTCTTCGTCTTGCCGGTGCCAGGGGGCCCAAACACAATGTAGGGGGGGAGATACGGCTCGGGTCGGGCGCTGAGCTGGAGACGTGAGCGCACCAGCAGCTGCGCCACTGCCTCCCTCTGCTCCACGTTCAGCTGGCGGTCGAAGGGACGAATGGCGGGAATTTCTGGCGGGGCGAGAGGGGAGGGGAGAAGGGCGATTGCGGAGTGTAAGTGGGGTGAGCGCACCAGCAGCTGCGCCACCGCCTCCCGCTGCTCCACGTTCAACTGGCGGTCGAAGGGTCGGATGTCGGGGATCTCTGGTGGGAGAGGGTATGGGAGAACGGACGAGGACAGGATTGTTGGATTGAGCACCACGAGCAGCTGTGCCACCGCCTCTCGCTGCTCCACTCCACGTTCAGCTGCCCCACCCACCCACCCACCCACCCACCCACCCATGCACCACGCACCAATGCTGAAGGGCCTCTGAGGGATCTCTGACGGAATCAGCACTTGCTGTCAGCCCACCCGTGTCTGCCTAAGGCCCACCCACCCACCAACCCATCGATGCTGAAGGGTGCGCCTGAGGGATCTCTAACGGCATCAGTACATGCTGCCCTTGGGAATCA